AGAACTTCCAAGCTGTCAAACAGTTGTTGCACATTCACAGCGATACGGACTAAAATTGAGCAGTCATCCTATGCTCCAATGCTGAACATCGCGGAATCAGTTCCGTCCGGGAATCAGTAACTAGGAAATCCGGAATTGCTAGTAGCGTATACTAATGTACTGCAAAGAGCAATCGCATACAACCTTATTCTGAGGCGGATTTCCCGGAATTCCTTCTAAGCGGAATCACTAGGAATTCCGGAATTGCAAGTAGCATCTACTAATGTACTGCAATGAGGAACGGCATATAACCTTATTCTGAGGCGGAATTCTCGAAATACCTTCCAGGCGGAATTACTAGGAATTACCAGGAATCACTAGGAATTACTGGGAATTACTAGGAATCACTAGGAATTCCGCAATTGCAAGTAGCATCTACTAATGTATTGCAATGAGGAATGGCATATAACCTTATTGGGAGGCGCAATTCCCGGAATTCCTTCTTAGCGGAATCACTAGGAATTAATACACATTACTACGAATCCCTAGGCATTCCGGAATTGCTAGAAATATCTATTAATGTACTGCAATGAGGAATGGCACATAATCTTATTCTGAAGCGGAATTCCCGGCATTCCTTCTTAGCGGAATCACAAGGAATTGATAGAAAGTATTAGGAATCACTAGGAATTCCGGAATTGCTAGTAGCATCAACTAATGTACTGCAATGAGGAATGGCATATAACCTTATTCTGAGGCGGAATTCCCGGAATTCCTTCGAGGCGGCATCACTAGGAATTACTAGGAATCAGTAGGAATTCCGGAATTGCAAGAAGCGTCTACTAATGTACCGCAATGAGGAATGGCATACAACCTTATTCTGAGGCGGAATTCCCGGACTTCCTTCTACGCGGAATCACTAGGAATTACTAGCAATCAGTAGGAATATCGGAATTGCTAGTCGTATCTACTAAAGTACTCCAATGAGGAATGGCATATAACCTTATTCGGAGGCGGAATTCCCGGAATTCCTTCTTAGCGGAATCACAAGGAATTGATAGAAATTACTAGGAATCACTAGGAATTCCGGAATTGCTAGTAGCATCAACTAATGTACTGCAATGAGGAATGGCATATAACCTTATTCTGAGGCGGAATTCCCGGCATTCCTTCTTAGCGGAATCACAAGGAATTGATAGAAATTACTAGGAATCACTAGGAATTCCGGAATTGCTAGTAGCATCAACTAATGTACTGCAATGAGGAATGGCATATAACCTTATTCTGAGGCGGAATTCCCGGAATTCCTTCTAGGCGGAATCACTAGGAATTACTAGGAATCACTAGGAGTTCCGGAATTGCAAGTAGCATTTACTGATGTACTGCAATGAGGTATGGCATACAACTTTATTCTGAGGCGGAATTCCCGGATTTCCTTCTAGGCGGAATCAGTAGGAATTACTAGGAATCAGTAGGAATTTCGGAATTGCAAGTAGCATCTACTAATGTATGCTAGAAATATCTATTAATGTATTGCAATGAGGAATGGCATATAACCTTATTCTGAGGCGGAACTCCCGGAATTCCTTCTAGGCGGAATCACTATGAATTCCGGAATTGCAAGTAGCATCTACTAATGTACTGCAATGAGGAATGGCATATAACCTTATTCGGAGGCGGAATTCCCGGAATTCCTTCTAGGCGGAATGACTAGAAATCTCCTGAATTGCAAGTAGCATCTACTAATGTACTGCAATGAGGAATGGCATATAACCTTATTCGGAGGCGGAATTCCCGGAATTCCGTCTAGGCGGAATCACTAGGAATTCCGGAATTGCAAGTAGCATCTAGTAATGTACTGCAATGAGGAATGGCATACAACTTTATTCTGAGGCGGAAGTCCCGGATTTCCTTCTAGGCGGAATCAGTAGGAATTACTAGGAATCAGTAGGAATTCCGGAATTGCTAGTCGTATCTACTAATGTACTGCATGACGAATGGCGTACAGCCTTATTCTGAGGCGGAATTCGCGGAATTCCTTCTAGGCGGAATCACTAGTAATTCCGGAATTGCCAGTAGCATCTACTAATGTACTGCAATGAGGAATGGCATATAGCCTTATTCGGAGGCGAAATTCCCGGAATTCCTTCTAAGCGGAATCACAAGGAATTACTAGGAAGCACTAGGAATTCCTAGGAGTTCCGGAATTGCTCGAAATATGCATTGATGTACTGCAATGAGGAATGGCATATAACCTTATTCTGAGGTGGAATTCCCGGAATTCCTTCTAGGCGGAATTACTGGGAATAACTAGGAATCACTAGGAATTCCGCAATTGCAAGTAGCATCTACTAATGTACTGCAATGAGGTATGGCATATAACCTTATTCGGAGGCGGAATTCCCGAAATTCCTGCTGGCGGAATCACCAGGAATTCCGGAATTGCAAGTAGCATCTTTTAATGCACTGCAATGAGGAATGGCATATAACCTTATTCTGAGGTAGAAGTCGCGTAATTCCCTCTAGGCGGAATCACTAGGAATTCCGGAATTGCCAGTAGCATCTACTAATGTACTGCAATGAGGAATGGCATATAACCTTATTCGGAGGCGGAATTCCCGAAATTCCTTCTAGGCGGAAGCACTAGAAATTCCTGAATTGCAAGTAGCATCTACTAATGTACTGCAATGAGGAATGGCATACAACCTTATTCTGAGGCGGAACTCCCTGAATTCATTCTAGGCGGAATCACTATGAATTCCGGAATTGCAAGTAGCATCTGCTAATGTACTGCAATGAGGAATGGCATGTAACCTTATTCGGAGGCGGAATTCCCGGAATTCCTTCTAGGCGGAATGACTAGCAATTCCAGAATTGCACGTAGCATCTAATTATGTACTGCAATGAGGAATGGCATTCAGCCTTTATTCTGGGGAGGAATTCCCGGAATTCCTTCTAGGCGGAATCACTAGGAATTCCGGAATTGCAAGTAGCATCTACTAATGTACTGCAATGAGGAATGGCATATAACCTTATTCGGAGGCGGAATTCCCGAAATTCCTGCTCTGCGGAATCAGCAGGAATTCCAGAATTGCACGTAGCATCTAATAATGTACTGCAATGAGGAATGGCATTCAACCTTTATTCTGGGGCGGAATTCCCGGAATTCCTTCTAGGCGGAATCAGTAGGAATTCCGGAATTGCTAGAAGTATCTACTAATGTACTGCAATGAGGAATGGCATATAACCTTATTCGGAGGCGGAATTCCCGAAATTCCTGCTAGGCGGAATCACCAGGAATTCCGGAATTGCAAGTAGCATCTTTTAATGCACTCCAATGAGGAATGGCATATAACCTTATTCTGAGGTAGAAGTCGCGTAATTCCGTCTAGGCGGAATCACTAGGAATTCCAGAATTGCAAGTAGCATCTACTAATGTACTGCAATGAGGAATGGCATATAACCTTATTCGGAGGCGGAATTCCCGGAATTCCTGCTAGGCGGAATCACTAGGAATTCCGGAATTGCAAGTAGCATCCACTAATGTACTGCAATGAGGAATTGCATATAACCTTATTCGGAGGCGGAATTCCCGAAATTCCTGCTAGGCGGAATCAGTAGGAATTCCGGAATTGCTAGAAGTATCTATTAATGTACTGCAATGAGGAATGGCATATAGCCTTATTGGGGAGCGGAGTTCCCGGAATTCCTTCTAAGCGGGATCACTAGGAATTACTATACATTACTAGGAATTCCTAAGAATTCCGGAATTGCTAGAAGTATCTATTAATGTGTTGGAATGAGGAATGGCATAAAACCTTATTCTGAGGCGGAATTCTCGGAATTCCTTCTTAGCGGGATCACAAGGAATTACTAGAAAATTCCGGGAGTTCCGTCTCAGTGGAAGTCGTATAGTTCTGATAATTGCTGTATATCAGTACATGCTTCAACTAATTCCGGAATTCCTAGTAATTCCTAGTTATTCCCAGGAATTCCTGGGAATTCCGCGTAGATGGAACTCCGGAAATTCTGTCTCAGTACAAGTTGTTTAGTTTTGGTCATTGCTGAATATCAATACATGCTTCTACTAATTCCGAAATTCCTAGTAATTCTTAGCAATTCCGCGTCGAAGGGATTCCGGGAATTCCGTCTCAGTACAAGTTGTTTAGTTTTGGTCATTGCTGAATATCAATACATGCTTCTACTAATTCCGAAATTCCTAGTAATTCTTAGCAATTCCGCGTCGAAGGGATTCCGGGAATTCCGTCTCAGTACAAGTTGTTTAGTTTTGGTCATTGCTGAATATCAATACATGCTTCAACTAATTCCGGAATTCCTAGTAATTCCTAGTTACTCCGAGGAATTCCTAGCAATTCCGCGTGGAGGGAATTTCGGGAATTCCGTCACAGTACAAGTTGTTTGGTTTTGATGATTGCTGTATATCAATACATGCTTCAACTAATTCCGGAATTCCTAGTAATTCCTAGTTATTCCGAGGAATTCCTAGCAATTCCGCGTGGAAGCAATTCCAGGAATTCCGTCTCAGTGAAAGTTGTTTAGTTTTTGTCAATGCTGAATATCAATACATGCTTCTACTAATTCCGAAATTCATAGTAATTACTAGTAATTCCGAGGAATTCCTAGCAATTCCGCTTGGAAGGAATTCCGGGAATTCCGTCTCACTACAAGTTGTTCAGTTTTGATCATTGCTGTATATCAATACATGCTTCAACTTATTCCGGAATTCCTAGTAATTCCTAGTCATTCGCAGGAATTCCTAGGAATTCCGCGTGGAAGGTATTCCGGGAATTCCTTTGGTACGGAATTAGTGGGAACTGGTTCCTGGTCGGGAACTGGTTCCGCAATGATCAACATCGCGGAATAGGATGTATTCTCTCTAAATGAGTGAGGCTAATGTGCGACCACATCCCTAGGTTCTGTTTTAAACACATTTTGAGCTTACCTAATTTGGAAGGTGGAAAATGTCCCCGTTTGTGAATTGGCACACCTAAAAACCTGCACTAGTTAAGTTTAACTTGTCCTTGGAATGCTGGTGGTGGCAGCCAATCACTAATCCAGAAAACCTCGGTCTTCTCAACATTCGTTTTTCCATCTGATGCCCTGTTGTACAGATCAAACATTTTGATAGTCTCCGTCTCTTCATCTCTGCTGAAGACAATAGTATCAATATCGTCCGCATATGCTATTGTTTTTATGGTATTATCGTCTCCGTCATAGGGGAAAGCCTTCTTTCGTACAGCCTCATACTGTGCACCTGGTGGAATGATACCTGGTATTTTAGGATTATTCCTGATACTATGCAATAGAGGTTCGAGGCACACTACATATATAATACCAGATGCCGAGCAACCTTGGCGCACTCCAGACTCGAATTTCAACGGTTGTGTTATCGAATCATTTATTTTGATTCGGAAAGTGGCACCGGTGTACATTAGCCTAATCCACCGAATGAACTTCTGTCCAAATCCAAACCTCCGTAACACCTCGAAGAGCTAACGGTGATTGACTCGGTCAAAAGCCTTTTCTTGATCCCATAAAATGATACTTTTTTCGTTTATTAGACATCGAACAAAGATAGGAAATGTCAGAAAATGTATTTACAATAGACTTACAAGCTTGAATATTCTTCTCTTTCTCTTTCTCCTTCTCTTTCATCTTGCAACAGATCTAATTTCTTACATTTTACGTTCTTTCTCAGCTGACCAAAAGGAAACGAAAACGTAAGAAAAAAGACGTCTCTCCAGAAACTATTGTATTTTAGTCAGTCAAGATTCCGTTATTTTACCTCTTTCTGCTAAATGGAAGAAAAAACTTTACAACAATGAAAGTAAGTACTTTTTCAAGCTAGAATGATTCTTGACTGGCTAAAAGATAAGAGCTTCTCAATGTGCAAGATATATATAGGACGGAAAGAGAAAAATAGAGACGTCTTTGTTTTACATTCTCTTTTTCTTTTGGTCAGCTGAGAAAGAACGTAAAATGTAAGAAAACGTAAGAAGTTGTAAATACATTTTCTGACATTTCCCATCTTTATTGGATGTTTATTATTTAAAACATACAACTTATTCAGTTTAGACTTCTGCCTTTTAATTTCGTCATTAATGGTACGTATGAACATTGCTTCGTCCAAATGAAATGATTGTAGAAAAATCGAGCATTTCTCACATCTCTTCGCTAGATCTTAAATTATTGATAAAGGAAGCATTTTAGGGTGTGTTGTAATGTGTCGAAAACTGATCTAAACACTTTAAAGGCTATTTACCAGATGGCTGTTAATAGTCATAAATTGTTTCACAATCATTGATAGTTAAAAAATGTGCATAGTTTGTGATCAGTTTCTGATACACCGATACACCACTTATGAATAATAAGTAATATTTCCATCTGGAATTCATGTGCTTTCTTAAAAGCAGAAAATGTTTGACACACCGGACTAGACTTATAGTTATTGAAGAGTGTAGCTTTAAACTGGCAATATGGAAGATTCTAAAAATATTTATTATCAGATGGCAGAAATGCGATATCAAAAAATATCCGCTATAATTAATTTTAGCACTATCGGATTTCGTAGTAAAATTTTACTAAATCTCTGTTGTTTGTCTCTGTCTATGTATTTTTTTTCTCTCGCTTGCTATTCTTTAAAGCATTTTGTTTATATGTCAAAAGATAGAGATTTTGAAGCTCTACAAAGCTGTCTAGTTGGTTTTTCAAAATTTCTTCTTGGCTATTGTTAGCTTTACAATTTGAATATCAATTCAATTGCCTAACTAGGACTGTGAAAAAGTCCAATATATACTAGAATTTTTTGCGAAAGGTTCGACTGAATTTTCAAGAATGCGACAATATTCTTCAACTTTGGATAGATCTTTCAGAGTTTTAGGTGAAACATTTAGGATAAGCAGTTTTGAAATAAAAACTGAAAACACCGAAGAAAGATTTATGATTCATAGAAAGCCTATTCAATTCTTTTCTAATTCTAAGCAATCTTAGTATTTTCGGTGTTCATTTTAAGAGTTCCACCATTTAGTCCAAGACTAAATTGTACACCCCATAGCCCAATAATACATCTTTTATCGAGAAAAGCCGGGCTTTTGAAAAAATATTTTTCCAAACAGTACCAAAAACTATCTAGAGGTGTTGGTTAATATCATTCTCTTTCAGCATTCGTCTTGATCAGCAAATACTGTCACGAAGCATTAATTGTGAGCAGAAAATAGGAAGTCGCAGTGGAATGATTGAGTATATGTAAATCGTTTCAATTTGGTGTCGACAAGGGAAACTTATTTGAAAAACCAACTAGACAGCTTTGTAAAGCTTCAAAATCTCTTGGCATATCAAGAAAATGTTTTACACAATAGCAAGCGAAGATTAGTGAAATTTCACCTGGGACACCCGTTACATTGTTTTTGTGAAATTTTCTATTCGAGTGGTTGATTCATCTCTTTGTGAATATTCTATTTCTGAAAACAAGGATAAATAAATCAATCTGTTTTATCAGACATAAAATATGTCTAACAACTCAATAAACATGGGTTTGAAGTAGTTTCGTTTGCGTTGTTACGGGTTGTTCATCAAGATGAGCTATTTCGCTCTCTGGATATTTTGCAGTGAGATCAGTTTTAACCTAGCATACAACGATATTCTTGTTCTAGGAAATATCAACACTAGAATCAAGTCTACCAAATGAAGTGTAAGTCTCCCTTGGCAAGGGTTAAAAGCTGATACATTAAAAGAACGTTATCAGAAAATTGGTGATACGAAACGTCTTACATCAATTGAAGTATTGTGTGAGGGTTACGCACGTCAGTTTGTAATATGACTTTATTTTTCTCTATCTAAAATCTATTGAAATTATTTATTCATTTTTCAATTTAAATGATCGTTTCAATAATATTATTTATCCATTTTTATGCACAATAGATTTATCCAATCTCGATGGATGTACGCT